ATCGGGTGCAACGGCGGGGAGCACAACCGGGAACGGTGGTGTCGAGGGCGGACCGACGAGGATCGATTGTGACTGGAAATCGGCAGCAGAACAAGCTCGCACACGGAACAGGACATGCGAACCGGGAAGAAGATGTTCCAGAACAACCTCTTGCCCGATCCCTTCGTACACAATGAACCACCCCAGAAGGTGAGTACTTTCGCAATCTGTAAAATAGCCCAATTTCGCCAAATCATCTGCAGATAGAGGACCGGGGGAATGGAGCAAACCAGTTTTCAGATCATCATCCTCATCGTCGTGTTCCGATGCGATAGGATCCGAACGTGAAGTAGTGTTAGTAGTAGTAGTAGTCGAGGTGTGACGTCGCATCTCAGTGTGAACAAGTTTGGGCATCACCGGATGCGTCTTCTCATCAGCACGTAATGCATTTGGCGGTAAGGAGCAAAACAATGATTTCCCAGCAAGACCTGAATGAATGGGAACAAAAGTTCAAAAAAAATGAATAAATATCCACTACGGAAAATATATGTATTGAAAGAACCGAAATCCCTGAAAAATCACCCTAAGCGGGGTGGGGGTTATTACACGATGTAAAAAACAGCAAAAAGGGGGAAATCCCCATAGACAAAAGGAGGAGTGGAGAAATATTCACGTAAAATCCCATTTACTCACTCTGCCTTTACACAGTCCGTGTACGGTGTTGTGAGTTGAGGGGGGTAAAGAGAGAAAGTGGCAGGGTGCTTCACCACAACTTGACAGTTCGGGGAAAAAAAAGAAGATTGGAGCAGAGCAGTACAATATCGGGGAACTGAAATCTGATAAGGATAACTATGTAGATGTTCGTGTACGGGATGGGCGGGTAAAAGATGCAGGAACAGGAACTGCCAAGGCAAGTATCGAGGAACAAAAATCAAAGTAGTAACGATAGGATAGGGACAATGAAGCAACTGCCCGACGATGGGATAAGTGACAGCAGACTAGATGTTTGGGAAGGATCATCGAGTAACCGGATGGCCTATCGTTGAGCATGATCAAAAAGAGAAAGAGAAAAAGACTAGGCCCCACCCCACACGTGAGTGCAAAACATTGAGGAGAGACCAGGAAGGATCAAAAACTATCGAACAATTGAATGTCTAAACCCCCCAGGGGCCAAACACGTGGGACGGCTAGTGGATCGAGAGTCATTGAACCAATGAGTCCAACCATTGTGCGAATAACGTGGTGTCATTCTTTAACTTCCTTCAATTTAATAAATCGGAAGCACTGAATCGGGAGACTGAGCAGTCATCACTGATCACAACAATGAACAGAAAAACACCGATTCTCTGGAACGTTCTTGATATTATTACCACAGTATCATTTGCATAATAACTGTTGGTTGCTAACAGTTTATCTTATTTGCAGTGTCATTTGATTCACCCTTTGGCGTTTCTAATCCAAACAGCAATCGAGTTGCAACGGAAGAAGAACTGATTGATTGAAAAGTGAGCAGAAAAGCGTGCAATTCCACACAGTCTACTTTACTTACCTGATTCACAGAAAACTAAGTCATATGTGAGAAGGTTTGTCCAAGCAGGTAGTGAGCGGTAAAAGTCAAGGGTGATCAAAGTAGTATTTCATACGAGGGAATGGAAACCTTGACCAGGAGATTGGGTCATATAAGTACCGTTAGGATCCCTGGATAGGGACCTCGAGACATGGTGATCGGTGGCTAGAGGCGCTCAGTGATATGGCTGAGTGTCGCAAACTGTGGTGCTCCTGCAGATACTCACTATTCTTACAACCCCAGTCTATACGGACTCTCTATTTTTTCTTTGACTATGCTCTCAACACTATAATCGTCATTCATCCATATGGGTGGCCAAAAGACAGCAACCAAAACCGGCTCACGGTGCATGGTTATTGGTTGTAAAAGCTGAAAGTGAAAGTGAGTATGCGTACGTTAGTTAAACCATAGAAATTCATTGATTTGTATCAACCCGGTCTGATAGTAACATTTTACACTTCAGTATGCGTTTTGCAAATCCAAAGTGTGAAATATTGCAACTAGATTGGGTTGGTCGATCACCCAGCCGTTCTATAACGAGAGAAGTAACAGAGCTATTGGACAAGTTTTGTTATTTAGACAGCTATATCTGACCCGGTGAACATATCACGAATGAAGGGTTAGCTCCCATATAAAAGGCCTGATTGGCATTTGTCAACTTGAGACATTATGGAGCCGCCGCGACATCCGGCTGTCTGTGAACAGTAATCGCAGTCATCCACTGGAGTAAGTAATCGACCTCCATAGGTCACATTGATTAGGGCATGTGTTACGCATGTCACCAAATGGGTTGGCACGGCCAGAGAGATTTGACTAGGCGGGTAGTGGGTGGAATAAAGCCAAGGACGGTCTAACCGAAACCTGGCATGAGAGTATAAAATACTAAAGCCAGGAAACTCGGTCATATAGGTCCCGTTAGGCTCCCTGGCTGGGAACCTCGGCACGATGTTAACCAAGGGTTGAAGACACTGAGTGATATGGCTTAGTGTCGTAAACAGTGGGGTTCGTGCATCTTCTCAATTTCTTCGCAACCTTGGCCCACTGAAATGGTCCATTTTCTATTCGATTCTATCTTCCAACTTTTCTGTCACTTCTACTGCTCCATCCAAATGAACAGTTAAAAGACAGCAACGAATACCAATTGAAAAATGATGTGACTTTTACTTAATGCTGTTTGTGTACTCGTGGAGATTATCTGAACACCTGACATATTCCTTCCGTTCTCTATGAGGGGAGTTTTCAGCGGTGTGATTTGAGAACGCAATTACCGATATGGCAAATCTGTGGTCACCTATGTCCAGTTTTCTCATCACAACAACAACAACAACAAATAGACGCATTTAGTGAGGGGGGAACTACGACTCGATTCTCAGTCGCGTGTTCTCGACAATTGAGAACCAGATCAACACACTGTTTTATTCATCTCTGTAACAAAGCGAAACCGCCTCGTACCGAAATAGATCAATAGTAAATCAAAAAATGGTGTTATAACATGGGAGTGATGGAGGATTGGATTCAGTTTCAGTGTACATAGAACAAATGAAGCGTAAATTGAAAAGCTACGAAGAACCGGACACCTGTTTCAACCTGGTTCGGTCTCATCAGCACCGTACCGAAATAGGTCAACAGAAAATAATTAAAAAAAATGATATTATAATTTCCAGTCACAAATGAAATCGGAATCAGTCATAAAACAAAACGGTACACCTGAATGTTTTCATTCTGTGTGTGTGTGGGGGGGG